ATCATTCTATTCTATTATTGGATGAATCATTTATTGTATGTTTGATCATTAATATTGATAACGTAAATCAAGAAAAAAAAAAAGGATAGTGAATGAATAGCATGCTATGCATGCATCATGCACAGTGCTATTGTTAATTTACAGAATTTGCCGTCATTCTGTTTTCCCATTAAATTCTGTATATTTATAATAAATAATCCGAAAAAGCTCAATAAATAATATATTCAAGAAAGTATGTTTCATTGGAAAAGTCAGTTAGCTCATTAACAAAGGCTATTCATTTTATTGAAGTAGTTGAAAAAGAGGAAGAATGGAGTAATTTAATGCCTCGTTTCTAAATTCTTTTTTTTTTTTTTAATTATGTATTGCAAAAAATTTATAAAATTTTATTCGTAACAGAAGAAGGAAGCATTCGTTCATTCTGATGAAATATTTTATTGTTGCAAGAATGCATATATATTACATTACAATAATGGATGTTTAATAATGGTATTGTAGGATGATAAAATCTTTAAAATTTCACAAACAATTCAATTGTTTAGATAAATCCAAATATAAATGTTTTTAGGGAAGTTTTTTTTTTTTTTTAAATTGAAAATTCTTATCAAAACATTGAGAAGAATTGTATAGGAAATAACAGTGCATTTGTTTGAATCCTTATTTTGGAATAAAATGAAACATTTGAAATGATTGAAGAATAAAATCGTTAAATTACAAGTGAAAAAGTGGAGGAATAATTTAGCTAATTTACGATTGATTTCTACCAAAATTGAATTGGGAAAAATAAAGATATTGATTTGGAAAAAATGTACGCATTACGGTTTCTTTTGAAATTGTTTGAAGTAATTTCTTGAATTTCGCCAATTTTGAAATTCGATTCTTATCATTTTGTATTAATGTCATCATTGCATATGCCTCATATTTGATAAGCAAAATAAATGCATGATTTCGATAAGCATATAGCGCTGGTAAATTACTGAAAATTTCGTTTGCTGCAAGGAAAACACAAATTTTAGAATTCAATGAACGAAAAATTTCAATTGAAGAAAATTTTAGAATCGAACAGAAGAAAATTCCTTTTTTTTTTCCAAAAAATTTAACAAGAATTTTATGTTAAAAAATATAATGCTAATGAAATTATTTTCCGATGCATAAATTTAGCAACAAAGAATTTTTAAAATTCTTTATTCCAAAAAATATCATACACTGAAAAAAAAAACGGCTTAAAATGCAAAAGATAAATAAGTTGCATTAACCTGAATCAGAAATAATAGCCATACATAGGTACCAAATTTCCAACGGTGTTAGCATTAATGAATTCAACTTTTGCACAGTTGTTTGTAATCGATCAAATTTGATGCTGTCTAAAAATTTCGATTGTTAAAATCTAAAATGTATTAATTTCTTTTTTAAAAAACAAAAAAAATATACACGCGTGCGTAAATTTAATCTCAGATATAAAATTTGAGTGAAAAAAAAAATTGATGAAATTTACTGCTTTCAAAATATATCGCATAATTGATGATAAATAGCGTATGCCAGGAATGATTCAACAATAAAATACGTTCATGGATACTGATATGTGATAATGGTGGTGATAGCATCATGAATCGTAGCATGAAATTCAGACAAATACACGAATCCAGTTGAACAAACTCTCCAACAGTTGTCAATTGCTTTACAAATGAGGATGCTTGATTTCTCCTTCTTCGACCTTTAAATTTGAAGCAATTGGTTCAAGTGATTATAACAATTAGCATTCCAAATAGATTATTATAATTATGATTATGATTTTTAGATTTTAAATTAGAATTTGAGGCCAAATTTTTTATTCAAATTTTTTCACTTTATTCTTTCATTTTATTTTTGTTAGTGAAAAAATTTTATTGATATGAAAATTTTTAATAGAAATATATTTACAAGAGAAAAAAAAAAGGAGAAATAAAAAATAAACCCATCGCGTATTCTTTCTTTTTCCTGTCCCGTACTCTTTCATTAATCTTATCAGAAGGTGCTATTGAGCAACCATAACACCTTAAATTATCATAATTAAGTGCAAATTCAATCAAAAAGAAAAAATGAATCAACATTTTAATGAATTCAAGTAATAATATTCATTTTTCTTACCTTTCTCGAAACATTTTTGTAGAACGTGGTCGTATTTTTCGTTCATTTTGTACAGCTAAAAATATACGATATCTTCTAAAATTCTCGTCTTATATTAAGTTATAATAATTTGCTATTTTTAAACGATATAAATTAATTTGAGAATTTTATAGCTATGTAAATAAATGCATAATTTTTTTTGTTAAAAATTACTCGTAAATGAGAACGCTTAATTTATTAACAATTTCAATTTTTGAAATTTTATAAAGATTTCAGACAATTAAATTCTTGTGTGACTGTCAGAATTTGAAAAAAAAAAATGCAATTTCTAAAAGTTGTAAGGTCTCTGCACAATAAGAAAACATGCATTTACAAATACTTTAAAAAAAAAAATCATATTTCATATAATTTCAAAATTTTCCATTTGTGATTTTTATTATTACAAAAGTGAAAGAATTTTTTTTTTAAAGAAAATATTGAAATCATTATGAAATATGATTGGTGAGGCAAAACCACGTGGATTCATGGATACGGCGAGACATTTGCGAAAACGACATGCTTGGCATTGATTCCTTCTTGCGACATCCACAATGCATTGCTTTCGATCTTTGCATTCGTAATTCATCGAACGTCTCACAGATCTTTAACTTTGCTTAATTTAATACGATGTTTAATAATCTAAAGCATATATCTGTAAGGAATTTTTATTAAGTCAAAATGGATTAAATTTAGGCGAATGAATTAAATTAAATTTAGATTAAATTGAAAAAAAATTAATCTTATTTTAATATTTCCATTTCTAGTTGACAATTTGATTTGAATGGAAATTTGAGAAAACTTTACGCATAGATAATATATTCATAATATGTGTGTGTGTGTGTGTGTGTATGCATGTACAATCATAAAATACTGATAAAAGTAGGAAGATAAATATGATATCGGTTACAATACCACATATTAATGCTTACAAGTAAATAGCTAAATACATATAAGGAAATGATAAACAATAAAATCTTTCAAGTAATATATTCCTTATTTATTAGTATTGCATATTTTTAAAAAAATGTATGTGTATATTATTAATAGAATTAATACACTATATTAAATTTACAATCTCGTTATTATTTAATTAATTATAAGGTTTATAGTAATTTTAACCTGATGTTAGGACTTGATTTAAAATTTACATAAAATCTAAAGTTAAAAATTTACTCATCTTAAATGTTCATTAATTCAAAATTACCACTAATTCAATAAATATTGATGAAAATACTGATATGATGCTATCATTATTTCTATCTGTTTATTAAATTCCATTTAGCTAAACCCTACATCGATTAACTTAAATTAAGTTAGATTATAAAATGTATAAAATTTGCTTTTTATTCCTAATTTTTAAAATCAGAACTTTGAAGAAAAAGCAAGAAGAAACGAAACGTGACGTTATTGCGATAAATTATGTGCAATTAAAACATCAAAAAACTATCAGTCAGTTGTTTTTCTTTTTTGATTTAAAATTAATTCTAACAGTTAAAAAATATAAAGAAAGAGCAAATGATAGGAAAAAATTGTGGATGTTTCCTCATTTTATTATTAAACAATGCTAATGTAACCAGTCTAATCATTTATTTTCATCATTTTTCCGAATTATATATCAGAATAAAATTTTTTATCGTTTTTTCTCTTTTTTTTCCTTTTTTTTTAGATAGAAATGTTGATGATGCGATAGATAAGATATAATAAAAATAAAATGTTGTATTAATTTCAAATTTTATTTAAAATCAACACGCTATTAATAATTAATTTATTTTAATTCTAATTGATGCAATTGCAACAAATAGTTTTAACCAAATTCATTCAAATTAGTGGCAGTAAAAATCTTTTGAAACACATATCATTACGAGAGATACCGTTTAAAAAAGCCTCGACATCCGTCGCAACTCTGAACACCATAATGTCTTCCTAAAATTTTCAACTAAAATATTTAGCATGTTTAAAATTTAATCTACAAAAAAAAAATTCATAGTTTTTCCTTTTTCTTCTCCATATTCAAAATTTTTTTGATGTGAATGTAAAATATTTTTCGAAAACAAACCACTAGCTCGATCACCACAAACGCGACATAAACTATCAGCACTGATCATAGCGTACTTAAGTAAACTAAACTTTTTGAAAGTTCAACAAATGGCCAGATCAAAATTCGTTTCCATTTAAATGGCCATTTTAAGAGGTCCAAAAAGGAGGATTTGGAATTCAGGATGGGAAATGAGATGCTGACCGTGGGAGTGCAATTTGAGAAGTGCTGTCATCAGTCTTTGTCATCTGTCTCGTACGAATTCTCAAAATCATTACGGTAAGTTTACTTAGCTTCTTGCAGATAATGAAGCCAATATTTATGAATTATTAGCTATCCTATGTTACCCGACACGTGGGAATATTTAGAATGTTCACAGCAAATAGCACTACTTTTATCCCACTAACTGCTTGGTAAAAAGCCATATAAAACTTTTGAAAATGATTTACTGAAAATAAAGATGTTCACTTCTTTACTTATTATGCTAATTAGAAAGTAAATGAAACTTTGTTAAGTTCAAATGACAAGTTAACATTCAAATAGACCAAAAAAAAAGTCGAAAATTAAACAACGATTATTAGCAAGCATCGCTGAAAATAATTTTATTAATAAGAAGCAATCATTGATTATTTATGATTAATATCAAATACTACATTTTAAAAAAATTTAATTTTTATACTATTGTAAAAATTGATAATTTATAAATTAATTTAATGTCCTAAATTAATTTTTGAAAATTAGCTCAAAATTGTGGAAATACATTATAGCAACTCTTCAAGTTGATTTATTGATAAAATATGCTTAATTTTGTTTTATTTTTTTAGCAAAAAAAAGTAAATCAACAAATTAGAAGAAATAAGTGTAACACAACTTTTATCACAAACGAAATAACTGGAATTATCTGTAGCAATATTGTAAATTAATTCGAGTTAAAATTTCAAATTAAAATTTTGTTTGACTCCCACTCATGCAATATTCATTCTTTCCATCAATGAATTTATATTGGTGGAAATGTAAATGAAAAAAAGAAAAAAAAAAGTATTAAATCAATGAGTGAAAAAAAAAACAAACGAAAAAAATTAATATTACGCTACTTTCAATGCTAATTTCTGAAAACCAACATTTGAATTTTTGATAAAATTTATGATAATAATTCATTCGGTGAATTATTATTGGACATTTGCGCCATCTTTCATTTTGCTTCTTGACTATTCCATGTTAACTCATACAAAATATCTCATTATGGTTTTACTTAATACAGTTAAAATCATAAAGTTAATCTTCACTTTTCTTTCTATAATTGTCACATTTGTTTTTTAGTTGTTCGACAAGTATACCACAACAGTTTATTGCCAATAGATTAACAACGATGCAAATCGATACCTATTAAAAAAAGTGAATATTATAGACTGATATGACGATATGATAATTTTATACTTGGTGCAAATTATTCGTAAGTCAAAACGACGTACTTGCTTTTTCGATAATCATTGCAATATTAAATACTATTTTTTTAATTATTAACAGAAAAATATTAAGGATATTAATGCTAACACTAGCCATAATTTAATGAAGGCTGATGAACAAATGAATTGATATTATGTTTCTCTGTATGACAAAAAAATTTCGGATACAGTAATTGATATTATCAGAACTTCAAACTTATAAACTTATCGGTCTCTTATAAATAGAATTATAAAAGATGATAAGTGATCAAAAAGTTATGCGTAATTGTAATTGAGCAAAAAAAAAAAGAATTATTTTTTTTCCAAAGAATCATAAAGCGCATACTTGAAGAAATAAATAATGGCATAAAATAAATCGATAAATAGGTTTTATCATACAAATAATAAAATCACGAATTTTTCTTCAATAATAACTTTCAATTTTGAAGGAATTCTAATTTAGTTTATCTATAATTAAAGATAGTAAATGATATTTTGCTGCATTCAAAATTATAAAACATTAGTAATAGTTTCATTGTTATTTCTTATATCATTAAAATCGCTATTTTAATGAGCCAAAAAATAACAATGAAAGTATTATTAATGTTTTATAATTAGCATTTTAAGTAGCAATTTTTCTTTAAAATTTATGAAATGATTAAAAATTTTTCATCCTTCAATGGTACATATTTTGTTAAAGAAATAAGACTAATTTTTTCTGCAGCAAACAAGAAAGCTATGAAATTTATCTTTTTCCAGTTTAACATTTTTTCTTCTTTTTTTTTTAAAAAAGAGATTTTACATCTTTTATTCCGTTTTTTCCCACTGTACTTGAAAAAGAGAGAATTGTTTCGAGAAATATAGCAAAATTGGAAGAAATATTAACATGTATTGGTATATGATATTAACGTGTTTCGTGCATTATAAAAACTTTAGCAAATATTTTTTTAACGTAAAAGGAATGAAAATTGAATGTTAGCATTAAAATGTAGTAAAAAGCAAAATTTTTATGATGCAGCTCGGACAATTTTTTTTCTTTCTTATTTTTGCTTGCAAAAAATTAATTTTTCTTTTTTTTTTTTTAGAGAATTTATTCGCAACATCAGTAATAATAATAGGAGAGAAATATGGTAAAACTTTAATGGTATTTCAAAAAATGCAAAATGCATTATATAAATTTCTAAAATCTAAATTTTTAATTGAAAGAAATTTCGTTGTAAATTGTTTTTTTTTAAATTTAGCTATATATATTATACATATGTGTACATGTATGTGTATGTATGTGTATGTTGTGTGTGTGTGTGTGTGTGTGTGTGTGTCTGCAAGTAAGAACATATTTTGATGGATAGAAAATTTGAAGGATTGTTTTAAAGATAGAATGTTTAGTGTTTTCATATTGCAAACAATCACATACATACACACACGCACATACACATACATACATCCTACAGCTGCAAACATGCGATTATCATTTCTATTTTAACTTCTATTTCATTTAGTACCTCCTCTTTAAAAAAGAAAAAGAAAAAGAAAAGACAAAAACAAAAAATGAAGAAAAAAAGAAAACTTTTTCGTTTCTCTATTTCATCTCATAAACAAAAATCGTAAAAGCAAGCTGTGTTCTTTTCTTCCTTTCAATCCTGAAATTTCTATTTGAAATATTCTTAGACTTTTTAGCAGCAATTCAAAACGAAGTCAAACTAATCCAATTCAAACAAGTGTAACTTTTGTTACATTTCATTCGCACTATTTTCTATCAGCATTATCACAGAATCTATCATTATTATTATTATCAATTCTACAATAACAACAAAGCAATGACTGAAAATATTAAACCAAAGAGTAAATTTTCCTTTTTTTTTTTTCTTTAATAATTATTTATTTTACATTAAGATTTTGCTTATATTAATTCTTAAATTTTATACAGTTATTAATGTTTTGTATAATTTTCAAGATGTAATTTTTGATGGGATATCAATGAACAAATTTGTAATTTGTTTTCTAATAGCCGATTTATTAGGATCAATTTTTAAAATTTGTCCAATTCATATTATAGTGATTATCTGATGTCTCATAGAACTCATTTCTTTTCTTTGTTTTCCTTCTCAGGTAACTGTTATTTCAAATCTTATGAATTCCTTCGTTGACCTCTGTTCCGCATTAATTGGCATAAATGATGACTTTGCACTGCTCAAATAAAAGTTAAAAAAAAAATTTCCTATTCACTTTTCTTCTCTTTTCTCATCCTTCCATAACAAATTACGGAACAATAGGCCAATTATCCAAAACAATAGATCAACTATCAGAAATAAAAGGTCAATTATCCAATCATTTATTGAACAGAATACAGTTAAAATTGTCAGAAATTATTTGAAGCGAAGAATTAATGTTATTAATTTATAAGTCTTGCTGAGAATAATCAATATGACAACATAAGATGATATCCTTGAAATAATTTATCATTCTTTGAAAATCTAACTATTCTTACGTTCAATTATTGTACTAACAGATTCATTCTTCCGGAAACCTCATCTGAAACATTATCTTAACAATTTCGAAATTAAACAAAAAAAAAACCATCAAATTATTTTTATTTCTTATCCATAACTTCTCTTACATTCATTTAGATTTATTTGGAATTGTCATCAGAACTTTATATAAATTTGGTAAAGTTTAAAAATATTAAATTTTTTCCTCTCTTTTCATCTTCTATTTCGTTATATTAATTTTAAAAAAAGTGCAGATATAATTTTAATTTTAGTTTTATTTATTGGAGAAAAAAAAAAAAACTAAATAGCATTTGTTTCAGTTGAAGAAGAAGAAGAGGAAGAGGAAGAAGAGGAAGATTCAGTGATTGATATACGCCATCGTAAATTTGTCTATAAAGTTCGATCTATACAATCACCTGATCGTAAGTTCCATGCAGCTTAAATATTTAAACGAATTAAAATTGAAGTTGAAATCTTGCAACCATTTTATATTTGCTTATCCTCCAAACTCTTAAACTGTTAAAAAACTTGAAATAAGTTTTCAAGCTATTCTTTTCTCTTTTTTTTTCGGTAATTAAGTCAAAAATTAGTAACTAAAAACAATCAGCATAAAAGCAAAAAAAAAAAAAAAATTGGCTTGATTTGATTTAATCATTGTATAACAATCCTTTTTTACATTATATTTTTCATAAATCTTTAAAGATCAAACAAAACTTTCGTAGAAAAAATTGCTTTTTTTTTCTTTCAGATCCAACAACGTCATTTCATATGACGCAACAAAATACTTCACCGCTTTCAACTAATTCATCGTACACGATGAAAATGAATGAAATAATAGGAACAACAACAACAACAGAAACTCAAATAACTGATTCAAATAAGTATTCCACTAATGAATCATTATTTCCTCAAAATACTGAACTTCAAATTTCATCCGTAATAAATAACATACAACAAAATCATCTGCCAACAATTACATTCAATGAACCAACTGAACAATTTCTATCATCATTTGAAACCACTCATTCGGATGTGCTAAACTATGAAAATGAACATCATCTTGAACAAATGATCAATTTCGATCAATCAATTCAGCAATTGAATGAATCATATGGAGATCAATTTTTAAATGAAACAACATTTAACGGTAGTGATTATAATTTCAATCATGAATTTGGCACATCTTCTACGATTTCAAAAGATTTCGAAACAAATGAAACTGATATCATTCATGATGATGAAATTGTTTCCGATATTTTACAACAAGGCAATAATAACATATCACGCATTCAGCATGGGCCATTATTTGGTTGTGCTGCTACTGAAAATTTATTCAATTTTACAATTTCTGGCTTCGATTTACTTGAAACAAATGATGCTGATAATGTTAATTTATCTGTTACTGATAATGATTGTTCAGGACAACGAATTATAATGGGTTTAACAAATGATGGATATGTGATTATTGATGGTTTAAGCATACCAATCAATAAAAAAGTGAATAATATGAATCAACAAAATGAATCAAATATATCATTTTCTACAATGAATACCAATGAAAGAAATATTTCATTATCGATGTCCCAAATTCCGGAAGATTTGAATGAAAAGCAACGAAGTGTTAAAAATACCAATAGTAGCAATGAAATTGTAACCGGTTTAACTGCACATGGTGAACTGATAATTGCTAATACGACTGATAATTGTTCATGGATAACTGCACAATTAGTATCGGTCATTATGGGCTTAACATCAACCGGTCAAATCATTTGTGGTGGTTGCATATCCGATACAATACCTGGAAATATAGAAATGAAATGTGAAAAAATCATCGAATCTAATGAGCAACATGCAACAGCCTTTAATATTATTGGTAATTTAACAGCAAAAAATGAGAAAATTATAATCGGATTAAGCAATTCAAATTTTACAAATGTTCACAATGGATCACTTCTTCGAAGGGATTCTTTTTGAATCATTTTTATATTTGTCATGATTTAAAAGCATTATATGCATGGTACATTAAATATTTTAAATTAGAGTTTTTGAAGTTTCACTATCCAAATTCATATCTATAATTTCATTTGTTTATCTTGCTGTTTCATTCAAATACTAACATATTTGTAATCGAAATTAAACAAAATGAATTGGATAAAATTTTGTATTTTAATTTTTATGCGCTTCATGGATATTTCCCTTGCTGGTACAATAAAATTTTACAATTTAATTATTCGAAGAACAAAATCATTACCCGATAATGCGGAAATTAATTTTTGGAAAAAACGATAAATTCAATTCATTCAATAACATTTAATTTTGATAAATTAATGATTATAACAAAATAGTTTGCTGCTAAAATTTTATCAAAATCAAATTTTATTTTAAAAAATAATATTTCAATGTAATGTATGCAATATGATTTTCAGTTTGGTAAATTTCATTACATTTGTAGCAAACTAAGATCTATGAAGAATTTGTTTGATACTTTTGCAATAAAAGTGATGGAAAATTAATTTACCAATGAAATTATCCCAAAATATAACCTAAAAATTTCATCTGAAAAGAGTCGGTTTTGTTTTTTTTTCTTTAAAGATTCATATGTATTGGATCAAAATTTAGCAAAGAAAAAATTAAATTTCGTGATACAACTTTTTTCAAGTTTCTATAGCTGTACAATTGTGATAAATCAAAATTATTTTAAAAGATCAAAATTAATTTTTTGTTTAAATAATGTCGCTATTATTTAAACGAAAAATTAATTTTGACCTTTTTTTGTATTTATCATATTTTTCTTTGAAAAAAAAAAAGCCTAAAAGGCTAAAAATTTGATTGCTATTGTATCAAAATGTTTTAAATTGTCGGAATTTTTTTTTTTTTTAAAGTAAAATTTCACGACTTTTTTCTTTCATCTTTTTTACTGCAAATGTAAATAGTAATTTAGCGATTTATAATAATTTGATGAATTTAAATATTAATAATATTCAAAGGGCAATTCACATATACACATTCATGTAACTAATCGTTGTATATAATTTTTGCATAAACAAACAAACATTATGGGCACCTTTTAACAGGTTAGGAACTGGGTCCGGTCTGACAAATAATAGTAAAGAATCGATCCCAGAATGACTGGTCTTCTGCTAATGATCCATTTCGATTGAAATATAATAATAGCAAACATCATCATCATCAGTTGTCCATTACACCGCTACTACCAACGCTCAATTTCATCTTTTGCTCTCCCAATTTTCATATGTTTTTCAGAAAAAAGTGAATTCATAAACTAAATTTTTTAAATTTTAACAGAAAAAAAAACGAAAACAAAAACTTTCCATTTTAATGTACTTTCATTTCCAATCTATTCTAATTACTACTATCTTCATCGCTATTAATGGTAAATTTTTACTTTTAATTTATAACAAATCAATTTATATTTTTGTTATAGCAAATAATGATTTCAAGAATTTAAATAAGCAATGGCAGTATAGCATTTTTTTTTTATCATATAAATAAGTTAAATTGCATCAAGAAGATCACTTGGACTTTTCAGTGGCAAACTTGTTTATGGGATAGGATCAGATACCGAACATCATAATTATTTCAAGCTTATCAGATCTAGTAAATGACGTCACAGTGATCTATTCAGATAAAGTGTTATGCAAGAAAGTACGCGTAGAAACGAATTCATTAATTAATTTATTAATTTTATACATATCGGAAACATTTATAAACATTTTTATAACAATTTCACAATTGATCAGCTCAATGTTTCGAATTATTTTTTTGCTATAAATGATGTGCTTTTCAGATTTACTGTTATATTAACAATATTACTGTTAGCAGGAAATAAAATTTCATCAAAATTCACGAAACTTTCATGGTGTAATTTATCTGAAATTTTTTTTTCTCGATGATATGAAGCAGATCATTTATAGCAATTTTACTCAAATTTCCTTATTTAATTAAATTTAGTAGAGGTTGCTCTTTTTCGGCATGGTACCATTTTTGAAATACTGACATTATCAAAAAAAAATTTATATGAATTTATAATTTTCAGTGAAAGCAGATATTCATATTGCCGAAATAATAACTGAAAAGTAAGTTTTAATTTTAAATTTGTATTTTGAAATATTTTTTGTTTTATTTTTGTCAATTTTTGCAAATTCTAAATTCTGCGATTTTCATCTGTTACTTGTTAATTCTCAGTTAATTAGAATGGATATTAATTATAAAAATAGATTTAACTGAAAATTTTCAATTGATTCATTAGACATCTATTTTAATTAAAAAAAACAACGACAGTTTTTAAAATGATTTTCCACACCAAATCAATCTTTCACATTTTCCAGAAATGATTCATATGAAAATGAATCAAATCACACTTCTTTGGCAATAAATTCATCAATTAGCAATATTATTAGAACATTAGATAGTCAAGAATGGTCACAAGCAGGTAATCTAAACAGAACCGATTGTTATGATTTCAATCATTTTGCTTTTGCAACAAATTTTTAAAAATTTACTGTTAAAAAAGGTAGCCATATCCGTTTAGTTTTTTTTTTACATCAAAATTTCATTTTTAAAGCAAATTTTTGCTGTTTTAAAATAGATTTAACTGTAAATGATATTTCAAATTTGATAAAACTATTTCAGATATTGAAATGATAACAAATAAATTATTTTTTAGATGTGAATACGACATCACTGCTTAATTTTGTAAATGATCATGCGATTAAGCAAAATGTGTTTCCAACCGAACCAACTAAAACCACTATCAATGATAATTTTGAAGATTTAAAAGGACGAATATCAATGGAAACGCTGGATCTTATCAAACGACTTCATATGCAATATTTTAATATTGAGAATCCCGAGAAACAATCAGAATTCTCATCTTTTGATAACAGTAAATCTAAAAAACAAGAAATTATTCGTGTTTCTGGCAAGCTAGAAATATTATAGCTGCGACTGAAATTAGTTTTTTCATTTTCATTTTCTTTGTCTTTTTATCTGAATTGGATGTATTCGTTTGTTCAAAATGTGTAATATTACATAAATTCTAAAAAAAAAAAAAAAATTCCAATTCATTCAACTATCATATCCTATTTTCACCCCTTATCTTTATTGAGAATAAAGATAGGATAATAATTGAAAGAGATGAAATTTGTTTTGCTCATTTTTATGATAGTATAAAAAAGAAATTAATTTATGAATTAGCATGATTGCAAATAAAATAATATTTTGCGAAAAATAAGGAAAAAAATGGGAAAAAAAATTCAGACAAATTAAATGAAAACCAAAAAACAAACAGCTAAAAATAGAAACATCAATAAGAAAGTGAAAGATCTAAATTTTTTTTTTTTATAACTGACTGACTTTAACATTTAATTGGGATCATCCAAAAAAAAAAGAAAAAAACAAATAGCTAAAAAAAAAAGCTGAAATTGTGTGAAAGATGCGATCGTGGAAGACAAAAAAAAAAAAACTGAGAAGCAAGTAGGAAAAAGCATTTCTGATTGCAAGTGAAAATGTGTTAAATGCAATTGAAAGTGCATCTCATCGTATCCTAAAATCAATTGTAATGTAATTAAGGATTTAGTTTATTTAGCAATATTTCAGTAGAACTTTTCTGGTGATATAATTTAAGCAAAAAAAATTACCTCACATACCTTTAAAATAGTATGTTACACAGCAAATTAGCAATTTGATTAGCTAATTAGTGAAATAACTGTAGTAAATAACAGAAAATTCTCCTGCTTATTGGAGTGTAAGAAATCCTGAAAAGAGTTCATTTTTTCTTTTTTTTTTGGCATATTAATCCGTTCTTACATCACATCAATAAATTTTACTAATATAATTGATTATCGATTAATAAAAATAAAAAATCATTGATAATTTTTAACTGTAAGATATCTCTTTCTAAAGTTTTTACAAGTGAAATAATCAATTCAAAAGTATTAAGCTATAATTGTATCACAGATCGTATTTACATCAAATCAATCTGATTATTTCAAAATTTTTCACTGATATAAGGTAAAGAAATTTTGAATAGTTTTAAATGCAATTCAATAATTAATTTTCATTTTATAAATGATCTGTGTCGGAAATGCAAAATGAAATATTTCTGAAGTAATGTGATGGATGCTGAAAGGAAGAGGCGGTTTTTGATGTGGATAGAAATTGAAAATGACGAAGCAGCTTACCAAATGAGTTTTCTCAATTCATTGCAGAAGTTCTTCTTTTTTTTTTCTTGTGATTTCGTTTCTTTATCTTACTTTGTTGTTTTTCAACGTTCAAGTATAAATGAACACTGCAAAAATCGATTGATGATGATTTTTTCGTTTTTTTTTTCTCTTTTTTTCAAATTCAACTGAGATGAAGAATTAAGATAAAGTTTTCGAAATGCTTCTTGCTGTAATTCACATCTCTTTTACTGATTTGTAATGTGAAACAGTATTTTAAAAATGCTTATTTCACTTTTTTTTTTCTTTTCCAATTGTGCATACTTATTTAAAAGCATTCCTAAAATTAGAATAAATTATTTATTTGGTGAAAAAACAAACAAACAAACAAATAATGATGATGATGATGATGATGAAATGATAAGCTAATCTATTCGTAACATATATTTAGCCTTTTTTTTTTCCTCTGTGTAACTTATAATCATAGAATATTGCTGATCATTGAAAATAAAAATTTAATTACATTAAAACAAGTATATAATAATTTCAATTGAAAAAAGAAATATTTTATTAA